ACTTACAGTCATAAAAGGCAAAGGCCCTGTGGTTGAGCCGATAGAAGATGCTGGGCCCTGCCTGTGTGAGCCCCTGGGCCAGTGATGGCAAACCTCTTAGAGCTTTCAAAGATCCACATAACCCACTGTGGCACGCGTGCCAGAGGTTCACCACCACTGCCCTAGCCAGTCCTTTGTAATCTTTAGTGGCTGCTTCCAGGCAGCAAGTGGCAGAAGTAGAATGGACCTCGGCCAGAGTGCTACAGTCAGTGCACACCAGTGCAGCTGAGACAGGAGGGTTTCTCAGTGACCGAGGCCGTCCACAGAAGGCAGGGTCTAAGTGATTGTATTCCACAGTGACTGACTGACTCTGAGAAGTCTGCTTGTGAAGCAGTTCCATTGTATTTTCTAGAAAACACATTGCTCCCAGCTACTTTTGTCCAGCTGTTTTCAGTTATTTTGGTAAGCTTCACTGTGACGTAATTCACATACGGTACAATTCACATCGTTTACAATTCAGCGGTTTTCAGTATACCCAGAGTTGTACAACCATCTCAAGTCAATTCTACGAAATTTTTTTCTGCAAAAAATCTAGCTGTCACCTCCCAACACTCTCCTTCCCCAACCCCTGGTGTAGCCCATGATGTGTTTCTTCCTGTTGATCTTGTTTTGATGACTCCTGTGTACATTCTAAGGCAGTGGTCTTAAAGTAGTTTCACTTGGGTACCCCTTGGGAGTATTTTGAAAAGCTGCCCCCCTATCCCAATTCAGCTTCCCCGACAGGAGCACTCTACAATATCATATCCCCAGCCCTTTTTAAATTTTATTTTTGAGATTGGGTCTCACCAAGTTGCCCAGGTTGGCCTCAAACTTCATCTTCTTGCATCAGCTTCCCAAAGTGCTGGGATCACAGATGTGTGGCACCACAGCCAGGCCCATCTCACATTTTTAAACTGATACACTGATTAGGTCAGAAACATATGTTTCATATGAGCTAGCTAGTAGACAGAGACCTCATTGTCAAAGTAAAGAATCACGACAGAGTTTATCAGAAAGTGTGGCTTGCCAGTTCTAGATAGTGAGCTAATATTGTGTCCTTTGAAAGGACAAGTTACTTTGAATTCTAATTCAAAGATGTAGACGGCACATTGCCTTCCCTTGAGGTTGCCTCCTGTAGGAAATCAAACTGCCTCCTTCAGCATTTCTTTGTGAGCTGTGTGTCTCTGAGGGACTTTGGAGCACCCCAGGTGATGTTTGGTCGGGAGACTGAGGGAAGGGTGAGGGTTGTGCCTTCAAGTTCAGGGGCTCCCAGGGCTCCCAGTGTAGAAAGTGTGTGAGAGCCCACCTTACACATGTGCACCTAGCTGTGTGACCCAGTGGTGCGGGTTATGGTCTTTTTTTTTTTAACACGGGGTTGTAGCCCAAGCTGGCCTCAAACTGAGATTACAGGTGTGTGCCACCACCCCCAACCGCACTACTGTTACGGAGAAAGCTTACTGTTCAGGGATGCAGGCCAAAGAACGTAGGGGGAAGCATCCTACATGCAGCTAACAGACGTTCAGTGTGTAGTAGTGCATGTAGACAGGAACTCATGTTTACCAAGACTTTCCTTTTTCCCAGTTTATCCACGGAGGACACACTGCCAAGATTTCGGACTTTAGCTGGAACCCCAATGAGCCTTGGGTTATCTGCTCAGTGTCTGAGGATAACATCATGCAGATATGGCAAATGGTAAGCTGAAATTATTTTTCTCAAATTCGTATCTTGTAAAGCAGAGATTTACTAGGGATATAGGAGAAATATTTAGGTACCTATTATACTAAATGCTTGGAATGTAAGGAAAAGTCCCATTTGACCAGTCTTGAATTCAGTATTGGTGCTTGGTCCCCCAGCTCTGGTGCCTGCTGGGCGGAGAGAAATCTGTACATCTGTGGGAACAGATGCAGACGCGCAGCATCTGCTTCAGTGTTCACTGGCATGGCTGGAGTCTTGGCATCACTGCTGCTGTCTGCAGGGCCTTGAGGGTTTGAGCACCGGCCCGGGAGGGGACTGAGGGTATGTGGTGATCACTGGCACCCTAAGGCGGTGTCACTCGCACCTCCTGTAAACAGTGCAGGCATCACGCCAGGTGACATTTGTGTGAACAAGCATGGGGGTGTGGGGCGAGCTTTGCACTCGCAGTCAGTGGCAACTGAGTTTGAAGAATACCGGCCTGCCTGCCTGCCTCTCTTGGAGGGAAGTACAAAAATGAAACTGGTCTCAGTGGCAAAGCGCCTGCCTGGCAAGCGCAAGGTCGTGAGTTCGGTTCCCGGTACCGGAGAAAAACCAAAAAACAAAACAAAACAAAAATGAAACTGGTCAGTTCCTGTGACAGTATGTCATGGACAGTGAACCCTAAAATCTGGATTGGCAGGTTAAATTCAGATGACTGTATGAAAACCTTGGGGAATTTTACCTGTGAATTTATTTGGTTGTTGTCTCTAGGCTGAAAATATTTACAATGATGAAGAGTCAGATGTCACAACTTCGGAACTGGAGGGACAAGGATCTTAAACCCAAAGTATGAGAGCTGTTTTTGTTGAATGTAATGCTACACAAATGCTTGATTTCTCAAGCGCCAAAACAGCGTTGTATAGTGGGAAATGTTAAGTGGGGTGGCTTATGGCATTCTTGACCCTATGATTCTAGCACTTTCAAGTGAGCTGTTGCGTTACTGTATCATATTGTAGTTATTAGGGAAGAAGGAACGTTGCTTCAGAAGGAATATCACGTTGTTTTAAATATAAGTAGCAGGGTACTGCCTTTGATTCAACTGTTCTAAGCCCTCGTTTTCTCAGACTTAAGTGCTTGCTGTTCCCAAATATGCAAGGGTAACTTTTACACTTTTTCCTTCCAACACTTCTTGATTGGCTTTGCAGAAATAAAAGTTTTAAAATAAATTATGTTTATTCTTATTCTTTTGGAAGGTGGGGGGACTGTATGTACATGAAGTTCTCCCCTCCCTCAAATGGAAATCGGTAAAATTGTACCTCGGGACTTGTGCAATTAAGGCCACATGGGTAACAAAAGAATACACAGAAGCTGTTAAATTTATCATACATATTTACTTAATCTATACAGAATCGAGTAGATAAAATCAATTCACATTAGTGAAAAATCTACAAAATGTCTTTGAAAAGCAAAACAAGACTGCCTCTTAACAATTCGTATCCTCATGAAAGACGTGGGCTGTAAAAATAAAGCAGTGTGTTTAGCACAAACTAGAGATATCTGCATCATTTTTTCACAGTTATTTCCATCTACAGTCTGAAAGAGGTAGATTTTTCTGCAACACCTGAGAATTGAATTGTGATAACCAGGTGTGATAAAGGCAGTTGCATACATAACTAAAACATACTGATCTTGAGACCAAGAAACGTACTCCTACAAGTCAGGGTGAAATGATCCGTTACCCAGGACCCACGTTCTCCTACACCAGGGGGTCTGCTGCCACTATAATTAACACACGTGGAGGTGACACACCAAGGCAACTGGCACGATGTCGAGTGTCGACCTTTCCGGGCCGGCCTAGTAGTGTTACAGTGTTCTAGAACACGGGAGATACGGGGCGTGCTACGAAGCCACAACACTGGGCTGCTGGGGCGATCACTTCAGAGGAGGGAAGGGTGTCCTTGGGGGTCCCAAATTTGTCTACTCACAGGGTGATAGGAGGAAAGGTTCTGAATGCGTTCTCAGAATTCATATCCTTTAAACAGCATGGTAGCATCTAGCTAAAAATACACGTAAGCCAAAAGCAGCAGGCCAAGTACTGTTAATCACATTGCTTTATAAAGCCCTTGAAAAATACAACAGGTCCAAGATTTACAGTCTTCTACACAGGACAGGCACCACAAAGAGTGTGGTGACCCACACACATGGCTTGGTAAAATGTTAAGAGGGATACATCCAGCAGAGTTGTGTGAAATGTGATCATTAGTACTGATTTTAAGGTAGATTATGTTTCTGATAGATACCTTCGTTGCCCCCAGGAAGTGAGTCCAGGGTTCCAGGTAGTAAGTAGCTCAAGGGGGAGGGTGTTTATTGGGCTTCCAGCTCATAGTGACAGGGTAATCGGATAACCTACTGTACGCTGGATTGCTTCTCCACTGGCTGGCCCCTTGATGAACAGCCCTGATGGTAGAAGCTCGGATACATAATCCTCCACTCCAGGCACTATTTCCCATCTGTTGGACAATTTTCAAGTTTTTCAACCCAGTTTAGACCAGGAATGTGACAGGACTTTTTACAAATAAAACTTTTAACAAAGAGAAAACTATTTTAACTGGACAAAATGGAGTTTATTCGGTCCAGTAAGCAGTTTAACAGGTGTCAGTTTGATACTTCTCAGTGGAATGTGCTAAGATCAGCTCTAGCAGAACCCTTTATTCCGTGAAGTGTTCCAGTGCAGTTACACAGGCTTCCCAGCAGCCTGATGGAGTGCTCATGCGCATAACAGCCACAGCCAACACCGAGGGAAACAAGGGCAAGTTCAAGAACCAACTCAAAAGTTACGTGCTTAATTCTAAAATTCCCCCATTCCAAGCACAGAGACCATGATAATACTGGTTTGTTTTTCTTTCTTTGAAGAAAAAAAAAAAAAAAGCAAATGAAGAAAGGAGAAACAACAGATTTGAAAGCCAAGTTCCAGGTCCTGACTATGTGACACACTGCCAAGTTCTCCATAGGTAAAAATGCTGCTTCCAGTGTTTCTCTTCTGGAAGTGATCACTTTGCACTTAGTGCTGGTCCCTAGTTTAAATTCCCTTTTTAAGAAAACCAAACCAAACCTTTGAGTACTTTCCTGGTTAGACACTTTTTTTGGTACCAGGACTCAAACTCAGGACCTTGTGCTTGCCAGGCAGGCACTGTGCTGCTGAGCTATA